AGGGGGGAAAGGAAAAGAGAGATGAACTCAGACATCTTATTTAACTACTCTGAGTCTCAGTTCCCATATCTGTAAAGTAGGCAAAAATTATTACCTAATTCATAATGTTGGAGTGAAGATGCAGCGAGGCAATATACATAAAGCACATTAACTCAAAGCAGGATTCTGGTAAACTGAGCTCTTTTTAAATGAGCAAGAGAAATTGTATTTACTACTTCCATTTTATAGATGAGAAAACTGACCACCAGTGATCTACCCAAGTTCACATAGCTGGTAAGAAGCATAACGGAAACTAATACTCAGGCCTTCCAGTTTCCCATTAGTGTATTTAAGAAAGATCAAACTCAGAAGACACAGAAATTTAACTATTTATCAAAATTCTTGGGCAACATGTCTTTGCAGGCTATTTTAAAAACTGTAACCAAGTTATAATTCTTATTAAACTTTATATTTGTGCAAGAACAGATATTTCCATTTTTTAAAATTTTAGTGAGAACCTCACCTCCAGAACCCCAAGGATTTTACCAAACATGATTTAATTCAAAATCTGTACCTGTAATCAGATGTTAAGTTACATATATTGTCACGCTTGCTTTTAGATAGAAGAAAGGAAGTCACAACAAAGTCATATGCAATTAAGTCACAAAAAGCCAGGGGGCTATTGTCAGAACCCAGGTCTCTCGCAATCAAATGGGAAATGGAACAGTTTTGAGGCTAGAAGCAGATCTTGTACAGAGATTCCTGAAACGTACCTTGGTTTGGAATGTGTGGGGGTAGGGTTCACAGAAATCTTGGCTGCTGTATAGATATTTGAAATATTGAAGTTCAGAGCCCATACCGCATCTGCTGTTTAAACCACTTAAACTGTGATTTCTGCTGACAACTCCCTAGTTAACAGGGTAACTATATTCTGTGTGCTGTCAAAGTTCATTTCAAGGCTAGTCACTCTTTCTCACTGACATCAAATACAAGTGATTTAAATTGTACCTGCATATTAAGATGTGAAGAATGCCAGGGCCTAGAAAGGTCTCCTTTGACACCCCTTTATTTTCTAAGAGGCCTGAAAGCTAGTGATTATCTCCACAAACCTGATGTGACTGTTCTGTTCTTAGACTGACTCTTCAAAGTCAGATCCGGGGCTGCAGTGGGTTGCCTGGCTCTTTCTTTTGCCACCTTAGACAGATTTTCTCTTTTAGCCAAGAAAGAATGCTAAGGTGGAATTCAGGGCAGCCTTGAAGGTGGGATGAGACAAAATGTGGTAGCAGGAAACCATTACCTTGGCCATCTTTCTTTCCCACATGATTCCACTCCCTTCACCCATCACCACTGTGTTCGGTGTCCTTGCGCCTTTCATAAGTCATTTAACCTCTCTGTCCCTCATGTTTTTAATTCATAAAATGTGGGTAACCATAATACTATCCACTTCATAGGTCTGTAGTGAGGTTTAAAAAAGGTTAATACAGAAAACATTTAGAGCTACCACTGACACGTCTCAAACAATGCACAGTGCTGTCCCTTCTGCTGCTGCCACTCTTGTGGTGGTTAGTGTTACAAACCTTTACTTGGACAGGCCAGTCCAATAAAAAGACTGCATCCCTTCCCTAGCCCAAGGTGTTTTCTGCTGAGAAATCCCTTAAACCATGCTGTAATTGGAAAAAACAAGGACTTTGTAGTTAGATAAGCTTGGATTTAAACTCGTACTTTGCATCTGTTAAATAACTGCCTGGCTTTCTGCAAGCATAACATTTTACTGGGTTCCAAGTAAATCCTGCTGAAATCCATTCATGGACTTCATAAAAATCCACAGAATCCAAGGTGAAGAATCTCTACTCTGAGCAATGAGGCTGAAATAGCAATAGAGACAAGGACAGTGTAAGTTCTAAATTAAGTTAGGGAAAAGATATGGGGACATGTACCTTTCTTTAACCCAAGAAGCACTCAATTTCTTAATTCTTTGGCTCTTCTTGAATGTTCAGGAACATCTCTTTTGTCAATTGCAGTCAGAAAATTTATTATTCTTTCTATAATATTGATTAATCAGTCTGCACTAGGAAAATAAGGCAACATTTATTGAATATCTAGTAGTGTATGCAAGACGGTCTCTGTTATATACAAGGAAATTCCAGTAACCTATCAACCAACCAACCAATCAGCAAATACTGACTGAAGAACCACTGTGGGAGAAAAAGTTAATAGTAGGCCCTGTGGAAGATACCAAGAAACAAAAATTATAAGTGAACGCTGGCCAGCATGGCTCAGTGGTTAGAGCATCTGCCCTTGCATTAAAGGGCTCAGTCAATTCCTGTTCAAGGGCATGTACCTGGGTTTCGGGTTCGCTCCCTGCCCTTGGTCAGGGCTTGTGTCTGAGACAAACCAGTCAATGTCTCTCTCACATTGATGTTTCTCTCTCTCCCTCCCTATGCCTTTCTTCCCCTCCCCCACTCCCTTCCACTTTCTCTCTGAAAGAGCAATCGAAAAAATATCCT